TGCCTCAGCAGACAGACACTGTGCCTCAGCAGACAGACACTGTGCCTCAGCAGACAGACACTGTGCCTCAGCAGACAGACACTGTGCCTCAGCAGACAGACACTGTGCCTCAGCAGATAGACACTGTGCCTCAGCAGACAGACACTGTGCCTCAGCAGATATACACTGTGCCTCAGGAGACACTGTGCCTCAGCAGATAGACACTGTGCCTCAGCAGACAGACACTGTGCCTCAGCAGATAGACACTGTGCCTCAGCAGATAGACACTGTGCCTCAGCAGATAGACACTGTGCCTCAGCAGACAGACACTGTGCCTCAGCAGACAGACACTGTGCCTCAGCAGACAGACACTGTGCCTCAGCAGACAGACACTGTGCCTCAGCAGACAGACACTGTGCCTCAGCAGTATACACGTGCTCAGAGACACTGTGCCTCAGCAGATAGACACTGTGCCTCAGCAGACAGACACTGTGCCTCAGCAGATAGACACTGTGCCTCAGCAGATAGACACTGTGCCTCAGCAGATAGACACTGTGCCTCAGCAGACAGACACTGTGCCTCAGCAGACAGACACTGTGCCTCAGCAGACAGACACTGTGCCTCAGCAGACAGACACTGTGCCTCAGCAGACAGACACTGTCCTCACAGACAACACTGTGCCTCAGCAGACAGACACTGTGCCTCAGCAGACAGACACTGTGCCTCAGCAGACAGACACTGTGCCTCAGCAGATAGTACTGTGCCTCTGCAGAAGACACTGTGCCTCAGCAGACAGACACTGTGCCTCAGCAGATAGACACTGTGCCTCAGCAGACAGACACTGTGCCTCAGCAGACAGACACTGTGCCTCAGCATATAAACACCGTGACTGTCAACTTTTACTATGCTTGGAACATACCCAGATATATAAGTGAAGATACTCTGGTGATGGCTTCTCCGCTACACCGTACATTTGAGAGTATTAATTATATTTAGCTTACTTTTTGTGACAAAGAATATGACTTCTACCTTAAATTAAAGCGATAGTTTATCTCCTCTACGAGTATTTTTGTCTATTTTTTAGTATATACACAGGTATACTGTGTGTATACGAGGGTTTGCGTTAATCCCTAATTTTGGTATTAAATTATTTCTGAGAACTAGTGTACAGGTGAGCTGCGGCCTTAATGACCTGTTTGCGGTAGATAGGCTTCACACCCGACCAACTAACTAGTTTGAGAACTGTTTACCAACCACACAACAGCAACAAATGATAGTCAGACTAACAGCACTCAGGACTTGTAACATTAAATTTTAAACTACAAGGGAGGTCATCATGCTGTGGCAGTGTGAATGCACTGGCCTCAGTTCCTTGTATCAAGAGCCCCTCACCTGCATCAGGGCACCTGTCTTGAGGGAGCTGCAACATTAAAGAGGCGTGAAAAAGAATAAGAAGTAATCTTTACATGTCTTTAACGGTGTTTTACGTCATGTCTTTAACGGTGTTTTACATCATGTCTTTAACGGTGTTTTACGTCATGTCTTTAACGGTGTTTTACATCATGTCTTTAACGGTGTTTTACGTCATGTCTTTAACGGTGTTTTACATCATGTCTTTAACGGTGTTTTACGTCATGTCTTTAACGGTGTTTTACGTCATGTCTTTAACGGTGTTTTACGTCATGTCTTTAACGGTGTTTTACATCATGTCTTTAACGGTGTTTTACGTCATGTCTTTAACGGTGTTTTACATCATGTCTTTAACGGTGTTTTACGTCATGTCTTTAACGGTGTTTTACGTCATGTCTTTAACGGTGTTTTACATCATGTCTTTAACGGTGTTTTACATCATGTCTTTAACGGTGTTTTACGTCATGTCTTTAACGGTGTTTTACGTCATGTCTTTAACGGTTTTTACATCATGTCTTTAACGGTGTTTTACATCATGTCTTTAACGGTGTTTTACGTCATGTCTTTAACGGTGTTTTACGTCATGTCTTTAACGGTGTTTTACATCATGTCTTTAACGGTGTTTTACGTCATGTCTTTAACGGTGTTTTACGTCATGTCTTTAACGGTGTTTTACATCATGTCTTTAACGGTGTTTTACATCATGTCTTTAACGGTGTTTTACGCCATGTCTTTAACGGTATTTTATTACATGTCTTTAACATGATTTACAACATGTCTTTGACAGTTTTTACATGTCTCTAACAGTGTTCTGCAACATGTCTTTAACATGTTTTACAGTGTGTATTTATCGTTGCATTTACTCTGCAATGTTGGCTTAAATTATATAATTTCTTTGCAATGAGCTCGACTCAATTTGCTTCAACGAGATTGTTGCTCTTACCTGCGGCGGCGAGCAATTGTTGGGAGCGGTGCAGGTGAGTGGAAGATGGTAGGTGTGGTGTGGTGGTGGTGGGGTGGTGGTGGGGGTGTGGTGGTGTGGTGATGGTGGGTGATGGTGGGGTGGTGGGTGTGGACGGGAGAGAGGGTGGAAGTGGTAATGGTGAATGGGACGCGGTGGGGGGGAGGGAGTTGGAATAGAGGTGGTAGGGGAGTTAATGGTTGTGGTGGGGGGATAGAAATGGGGGAAGGGTGGTGATGTGAATGGTAGGACGGGGGGGATGGTGGTTGTGGTTGTTGTGGGGGGGGGCAGTGTAAAAGGTGGTTATCACTTATCTTCAGAATCATCACAGAGTAGTGGAATTTACCCTAAATACATTACGAAGGTTTTTTCAGCATGTCTGCAGTGTTCTTGTACAAGATTAACATTTAAAATATTTTTTTTTCTTAGGACAAGATGACCAGGAGACCTGGAGGTGGTCGTAGATGACCAGGAGACCTGGAGGTGGTCGTAGAAGCATTGTCGTGTTAAAATGAGAGTTGAATTACTGCGTGATGCTAGAACTAATGTAATGGAAGGTCAGGCGTGTTTGGTAGGTGTGGAAGGAGTGTTAGTGAGTGTTGGCTAGGTATACTAGGTGTGGAAGGGGTGTTAGTGAGTGTTGAGTAGGTATACTAGGTGTGGAAGGGGTGTTAGTGAGTGTTGGCTAGGTATACTAGGTGTGGAAGGGGTGTTAGTGAGTGTTGAGTAGGTATACTAGGTATGGAAGGGGTGTTAGTGAGTGTTGAGTAGGTATACTAGGTGTGGAAGGGGTGTTAGTGAGTGTTGAGTAGGTATACTAGGTGTGGAAGGGGTGTTAGTGAGTGCTGGGTAGGTATACTAGGTGTGGAAGGGGTGTTAGTGAGTGTTGGCTAGGTATACTAGGTGTGGAAGGGTGTTAGTGAGTGTTGACTAGGTATACTACGTGTGGAAGGGGTGTTAGTGAGTGCTGGGTAGGTATACTAGGTGTGGAAGGGTGTTAGTGAGTGCTGGGTAGGTTATACTAGGTGTGGAAGTGGTGTTAGTGTTGAGTAGGTATACTAGGTGTGGAAGGGTGTTAGTGAGTGTTGAGTAGGTATACTAGGTGTGGAGGGTGTTAGTGAGTGTTGGGTAGGTATACTAGGTGTGGAAGGGGTGTTAGTGAGTGTTGAGTAGGTATACTAGGTGTGGACGTGGTGTGAGTGTTGAGTAGGTATACTAGGTGTGGAAGGGGTGTTAGTGAGTGCTGGGTAGGTATACTAGGTGTGGAAGAGTTGTTAGTGAGTGTTGAGTAGGTATATTAGGTATGGAAGTGGTGTTAGTGAGTGTTGAGTAGGTATACTAGGTGTGGAAGAGGTGTTAGTGAGTGTTGAGTAGGTATACTAAGTGTGGAAGAGGTGTTAGTGAGTGTTGAGTAGGTACACTAGGTGTGGAAGTGGTGTTAGTGAGTGTTGAGTAGGTATACTAGGTGTAGAAGGGGTGTTAGTGAGTGCTGAGTAGGTATACTAGGTGTGGAAGGGGTGTTAGTGAGTGTTGAGTAGGTATACTAGGTGTGGAAGGGGTGTTAGTGAGTGCTGGGTAGGTATACTAGGTGTGGAAGGGTGTTAGTGAGTGCTGGGTAGGTATACTAGGTGTGGAAGTGGTGTTAGTGTTGAGTAGGTATACTAGGTGTGGAAGGGGTGTTAGTGAGTGTTGAGTAGGTATACTAGGTGTGGAAGGGGTGTTAGTGAGTGTTGAGTAGGTATACTAGGTGTGGAAGGGGTGTTAGTGAGTGTTGAGTAGGTATACTAGGTGTGGACGTGGTGTGAGTGCTGAGTAGGTATACTAGGTGTGGAAGGGGTGTTAGTGAGTGCTGGGTAGGTATACTAGGTGTGGAAGAGTTGTTAGTGAGTGTTGAGTAGGTATATTAGGTGTGGAAGTGGTGTTAGTGAGTGTTGAGTAGGTATACCAGGTGTGGAAGAGGTGTTAGTGAGTGTTGAGTAGGTATACTAAGTGTGGAAGAGGTGTTAGTGAGTGTTGAGTAGGTATACTAGGTGTGGAAGAGGTGTTAGTGAGTGTTGAGTAGGTATACTAAGTGTGGAAGAGGTGTTAGTGAGTGTTGAGTAGGTACACTAGGTGTGGAAGAGGTGTTAGTGAGTGTTGAGTAGGTATACTAGGTTGGCGACCTTCCAAGGCAGTGTCTTAGACAAAAGAAATGAAACTGACCTCCCAGTCCTCGGGTGCCGCCACACCTATGGTCGTGGATATACTTTATGAATGAAGTAACAGTGTATTGGCGATCCGTGACGAAGGAATTCAGCAGCCAGGTGAGATTTTGGGAGATGCTCAAGACAACCAGGTGAGATCTAGGGAGATGCTCAAGACATCCAGGTGAGATCTAGGGAGATGCTCAAGACATCCAGGTGAGATCTAGGGAGATGCTCAAGACATTCAGGTGAGATCTTAGGGAGATGTGATGGGTCACCTCAGTATCTCCCTACTAACCCACTATCAGAAGAGGGAAGTTTAGATGACGTTTAAAGGTGAAGCGCAACGGACCAGCATGACAAGCAGACGTACGTGGTGGGGGAGGAGTGGCGTGGTGGTGTATGGTAGCACCACCACCACCACCACCACCACCACACACACGTGGCTGGGCATCTCAGTCGGTCTTGGCCTGGCTGTGAGGTCGTACCCACCAGAGGACGGGCTTACAGTGAGTGGCTGGTGGTGTGGGCTGGCTACCCACCTCACAAACCACATTCTCCCTCCCACACGTGTCTTTTACCCTATTTCCCCTCCCTCCCTTTTTCCACCGTAGTGGTTATCCCTTAAATGACCCTCGTATAACTATCAAACTTAAACTGATTTGTGAACTAGTGGAGGGTCGAAGCTATGAACTCAGAGAGAAAAAATTACACACATCCAGTCAAAAATCAAAATCAAAATCTTTATTAGTGGATTACATTGGAAATTCCGACAGCAATTCGAATCGAAATGTAATTTATAACAAGTGACCGAATCTGTAGTTAATGTTTAACAGTGAAGTGATATTGTGGTGAGGAAATCGAAGTAGTTTTTTTATTTGGAAAGTCAACTACAGAGATTGCTTGAGTAAAAGAAGCTTGGAGAGCTGTGAATTTATGCTGGAGCTTTTCAGAGATGTGATGGAAAAAAGAAAAGTTTGGAAAGTTGAACTAAAAAGTGTAAATCAGAAAGTTTTAGTGAAAGGTTTCGCATAATTTTTTTTTCTTCTGTTGCTCCGCAAGACTAATGTCTTCAGTGAGGTGTGTGTGTGTGTGTGTGTGTGTGTGTGTGTGTGTGTGTGTGTGTGTGTGTGTGTGTGTGTGTGTGTGTGTGTGTGTGTGTGTGGTGTGTGTTGGTGTTCATTTATGGCTGCAGAGGTCGAGTCTCAGCTCTTGGCCCTACCTTTCGCCGCTTGCTGGATTTCCTCCCTCTTAGTCTTGTGAGCCCTGTCATACCTAGTCCTAAAACTATACTGTATATGGAACCTGCCTCCGCTACTCTTCCGTTCAGATGATTCCCCTCCCTGACCATACTCTGATTGAAATATTTCCAGACATAACTGACTCATGTGTGACTAACTTCCAACTGTGCTCTTGAGTACCCATTCCCTGCCTCTCTAACAGTCTATCTCTGTCCATCTTATCAAATCCTCTGAATATTTTGTATCTCGTTATCAGATCTCCTAGTTCTTCTATCTTCAAATGTCAAGTTCATAGCTCAATTCCCCTTAGTATTTTAGGGAACTTGCCTCTTCTGATGTCTTATAGCCTCCGTTTTATTCAGAAAATAATGGTTACACAGGCAGACAGATAATGAAGGCTGCCAGAGCCAGTCTTAGGGGAGGAGGTGACGGAAGGTCGGTAGGCTCAGAGAGCGAGGTAGGGCAGTGTGGGCCTACCTCACTGGTGGGAACTTTAGAAACTAGGCCTACGGCAGAAACTCTAGTGGAAAGTAGATGAACTAAATATGTAGACTTACTGTCTACATTTTGCTCGACTACGCACTTCAAGTCATCTCGACATGATAACATGGGTATACCTCGAGAGGGTTTTGGGGGGTCAACGCCTCCGCAGCTCGGTCTGAGACCAGGCCTCGTGGTGGATCAGGATCTGATCAACCAGACTGTTACTGCTGGCTGCACGCAAACTGACGTATGAACCACAGCCTGGCTGGTCAGGTACTGACTTTAGGTGCCTGCTCAATGCCATCTTGAAGACAGCCAGGGGTCTATTGGTAATCCCCCTTATGTATACTGGCAGGCAGTTGAACAGTCTTGGGCCCTGGACACTTACTGCTTTTCATTGGGGGTGGGAAGGACAAAAAAAAATCAAATTCACTTGGCTTTGGCTTCCCCCTATATACACATGAATAATTCTAGCAGGCCTTAAAAACTCTCCCACATGCCGTGTGGAAGAGAAAATATCGTGCTATTCTATATAGTAGTGGATGGGGCCATGGGACGTCAGAACAGCACTGGAGTATAAATTTTCTTATAATCAGGTTGTTCACAGGGCTGGTCTAGACATCAGGTTGTCTGCACATCAAGGGGCACTGAACCATCCACGCATTTGTAAACAATGACTGGTGGTAGCATTTCCTAGGGTGTGATATGTGACATAAAAGGGCAGCACTGCTCTGGCCTGTGATACAGACAGTATAAGACATGGTGCATGCACAAACTTGCAGTTACATTACAGACAAGGAAAATATTTTAACAATACTATGGGTACCCTTAAAAAAAATACTTTTACATATACACACGTGTAGTGCACCCTGACTCTGTTATTTGACTTTATACAGCATATGAGCATTAACGCCCATTTCAGCAAGAAGATAGTGTAGTCAGCATAGAAGTCAGACAAGTCAACAGGTGTGTCAATGTCAGAGAAATGTACTATTGTCTTGGGTGTCAGACCGTAAGTGTGTGATTGGTCAGGACAGTCATTGGTCATATTAGCAGAGAGAAAAGTAGTAGACAGGTTGTGGCTAGTATCAGTCTGGTTGTGGCATTGCAACGCACCTCCTCCAGCTCAGCCTCGGCTTGCACATTGTCAATGTGTACTTCATGTGGTCAAGGTGAGCTTCCTTAGTCATTCTTGTGGCAATCTTCCTCACCTCGAACTTGTTGCCATGGAGCCGTCTGAAGACACAGTAAGTACCAACGAATATGGGAACTAGTTTATGCATAACAGGAGTTTGCATAGGAGTTTGCAACATTATTTTGCAACCTAGTACAACCTTACTCTCCTTATCAGTAGCGTTATGATTAGACATAAACTTATCTGTTGCTTTCTTGAGATTTTCGCGTACTCTCTGAAAGACAAGCTGTGAAGTCCACATCTTGTTGATGCTGACATTGTCAGTATCACATAAAGGCTGGGACAGAGCAAACAGAATTTCATATGGTAAATGCTTGTCATAGCCATACAATGCAAAGTGGAGTGTCTCTCCAATCAAGCTGTTGCGTGAAGAGTTTAGAGTACTCTGCACATCTGAAATGACCTCATCCCATGTGGCACAACTCAGATTCACGTTCGTCTGAGCACTTCTAGGATTTTGTGGTTTGTACATTCAGCAAGACCGTTACTCAGGATGGTGTGGCGCTACTGGCGCTTGATGTATGTCAGATCTAGAGCAAAGATCCTGCACTGTGGCATCTGTGAACTCCAACCCACTGTCCGACAGGAGGCCATGTGGGCAAGTATGACAGAGAACATGTTGTCGGAAAGCATTAGCGAAAGTCTTGGCAGTTTCATCAGGGATGGTTACTAGCTCACATTACAAGCGGATGTTTATTACCCTTCTCCAAGAGAAGTTCATCAATAGGGTGACAGAAGTTCTCTTCCAGGGTTCTTCTGTAATGGGATACTTGAGAATGGAATTATGACTCGGTGACAGTACCTTTGTGTTAGAGGTAGACATATACACATACTTAGCTATTTCTGCTGCCATCTTAGGCCAGAAGTATATAATTCTTGCCTGTCTGACACTGGTCTTTACCTGGATGCACTGCTCCTGGGACATCATGAATCAACTTCAGGAATCCTGGTACTAGGGATTCTGGGATCAACTGGCATACAGGTCTGCCAGGATCTGCCAGCTTTGCCACACAACACAGCACTCCTTGGTTGACAACTAAGTCCATCTGTGGTACTGGTGACTTAACCTACAGGTCAGCAGCTTCCTTGGTCAGGAATCGAAGGACTAGTGAACACACAGGGTCCAAACGTTGGGCTCTCTCTCTCTCTAGATCCTCAACAGAGAATGAGATGTCTGTACTAACAAAAGCAATGTACCTCAACAAGGCATCAGCAACATTTTGCTTACCTGGAATGTAGCAGATTTCTGGGTTATAGTCACTGAAAGTGAGAGACCATCGAGCATGCTTTCCTGAGAGATTCTTATTTGCAGAGACAATAATGGTAAATGGTCTGTGTAATCTTGATAGGATACTGGTATATAATGTCTTGGAAATGGCTCAAAGCCCATACAATGGTTGAGTTCTCTAGCTCTGTCACTGAGTAATTAATTTCAACTTTAGTAAGAACACGACTTGTGTAAGCTGTTGGCCATTGCTTATCAATGGACACTTGCAACAAGACTGCACCAATGTCAACTTTGCTGATATCCATTGTCAAGGTAAACTCTTTGGTGAAATCAGGAAATTTAAGAATTGGAGCTAACATTATATTGTTCTTAAGTATAACAAAGGCTCTTTCCTGGTCGCAAGTCCACTCAAAGGGCATCTTGTGAAGCTGGGTCAAGGGTGTAGCTATGGTGGAAAATATGTCTATAAAAGTGAGGTAAAATCCAGCTAGGCCTATGAAGGAGCAAACAGCATCTACCATCATAGGTCTTGGGAAGTTTTGAACAGCTGAGAGTTTGGACTCACCTGCCTTTATGACATTCTGGGTCATTATGTGGCCCAGAAACTTTATTTCTCTCTTGAGGAACTGACATTTAGAGAGCTTTACTTTGAGACTAGCCTCGGCAAGTTTTTCCAGTACCCGTTCAAGTTTACAAGATGTTTAGACATCCTGAGATATCAACGAGATTATCTAGGTAGACCATTAGGGTGTTATCTAGGAGAGTATGGAAAATCCTTGTCATCAAACGACTGAATGTTATAGGACTGCTCCTTAATCCAAAAAGTATCCTTTTGAACTGATAATGACCAGTAGGCATAGAGAATGCTGCCAATTCTTTACTCTGGTCATCAAGAGGAATTTGTCAAAACCCTTGGAAAAGGTCAAGAGTCAAAAAACTTTATTATCGCCAATGTTCTACAACAGGTTATTCAGAACTGGCAATGGAAAACAATCTGGAATCATACATGAATTTAGTTTCCTGTAGTCAGTTACAGGGCACTGTTTCATCTTTCTTGGGAACAGGGATGAGCAGAGCATTCCATGGAGAAGTGGACTCTTCAGTGACTCCATCATGGAGCATCTTAGTGATGGGTTCTTCAGATAAGACTCTTTGCACTTGAAGCAATCTTTATCAAGAGGAATACAGTGAGAAATAAGTCAGGTCAAGCCCATGAGCTCACTGCCTAGTACTACCACAGAGCAAGCACTACTGAGAACTTCAAGAAGTTTTGGAACTTTTTGGGGATAGTCTGTCATTGCTAGGTCATCCTCCAAACACTGGCCGGGTGATAGAAGATTCAGTAGCAGACTCTCCTGGGAG